CATAGAATCGGTCATTAAACGTATTTTGATGTATTAACCAAAATTTCATGTATAAATTATACCGTATTCAGTAATTATTATTATATTGAATTATGTAACAAAAAAGTAAAAATTTAGTTAATATTCTAATGGTTAACATAATTCTGATGTGAAAATCATAAACAGTTTCTTTAATTTTATAAAAATCTAATATTTTGTTAACAAAATACGCGAATATGTTATGCAATGGCAAAAGTAATTCAATATTGGTATCTTTTAATAGTCTTTTTCTTATGTATTTCGGTTCAAAAAACATATTTTTTGACACAATTATAGCGTTCAATGTTATCGTAATAAGTATTCAATGAACATTTAGTTATCCGTCACAACGATTAACATTAACAGCAAAAGCCGGTCTTATATTTTGTTGATCAAGGTTTTGATTCATTGCTGTTTTGAACGCATTTATTATTTGCATTGTTTATAAATTTGATTAAACGTTTAATTTTGTCGCATCTGTTTTGCCTATATTTGCTATAATTTAATTTCAGAAACTATTTTGGTTTTGAAAAAATACTGANATCAAGGTTTTGATTCATTGCTGTTTTGAACGCATTTATTATTTGCATTGTTTATAAATTTGATTAAACGTTTAATTTTGTCGCATCTGTTTTGCCTATATTTGCTATAATTTAATTTCAGAAACTATTTTGGTTTTGAAAAAATACTGATTATAACTTACAGTATGTTATCAATAATTATTCTAATGCTTTATGGCATTGAAATAACTATAACACAAATAAATTCATTAAACATATTGGTATCTGATTCTCATGAATGTGAGCACAAAGTCATTGTCGAAAAATGTTTAGTTTTATATTAATATTATTTAGTCGTCAAAAAATATGGTTAAATATACTATATTTTGATCGTTTAGATAAGTATCGAGTAAAACATTTTTCGAGTACTGTTTGTTTAACTACTTATTAGTTATTACTTTATTGACATTAAATATAGTGAATGAAGAAAAAACATAACTAAAGTATTGAAAATGTATTTCATTTGAAATTTAATTAACGAGTGTTTGCTCTCCAGAGGAAAGTCACTCTTTTAGCATTTCGGGCAAAATATTTTTTAAAAATAAATGCTAACATATTTTAATTGAGTGAAAACAAACCTTTTCCTTATATGCCTGTCCGAGGAGTTGCACAGACTTGAGGTCCACTTTGCCACCCATGAAACCCTTGCCCTCCTTTCCCCTGAACTTTCTCCACCATCGCTGAAGGAAACAGTAGAACACGATTATAAACACTCCGACGATCACCAGGAATATGAAGAACACTCCCCAGAAGGGAATGTGTGTCTTATCGGCGACGGCCTCCAGAATCTTCTCTCCGGACTTTTCCATTCGGGTCATCACACCTTCGGTGACGGCCGGCGCCGCTGTCGTCGTGGACAGAGTCGACGCAACGGTGCCGGCGATCGTCGAACTCATACTCTTTACGGTCACGGATTCATTGCCATCGTTTTCGCCGATGGTTTGGCCCTGAGCTTCGGCCACACCGTTGGCGCTCAACAGGCGTTTAATAAGAAGACTGTTTGAAAAGTGTGGTTGAGTTAAATACGGCGGCATTTCGGGCGCCTATTTGTGGCCACAAAAAATGTGACACACAATTAAGCCCTCACTCTCTTTCTCACTCCCTCTTAAATGCGCCAATCGATTGGTATAACTCTAGAATACAATGGAAAACACATCAAAAATAAACATATTATAAATGAGAGGAAATGAATGTGCATTACCTTTGAATTAAAAAGTGTGTTTTGAAGACCAATACATCGATAAATTGTGTTTTATCGGAGAATTGTGGCAAAAATATGGGAACAAAATCAAAGAATCGTATCCAAAATGCCTGAAATCGCCTTATCTTTCATGACTGAAAACACTGATGTCATGTATACTATGTCTGTATGACTGCGCTCTACAGATCCCTTTACCCAATGGATCGGTAGATGCGATGCGTGAGAGTGTGATTGTGATGACGCTTATGGCAAATATTGATCTACCTTAGCAACGGACACCCGTCCCTCTCCTACCATACACCATACCATACAATCTCCTCTCTCTCTCTCTCTCTCTCTCCCTCTCAGTGCCTACCACTGCCATCAGCGCCAACCAAAACGGCCAAACCATTACATTTATGCTACATTTTACTGCAATTTTCTGTTATACAGTATATATAAAAAATATTCTTCTCTTAACAGAGAGTACTATTCCTTATGGAAGAGTTTGCGCTCTTCTATTCGTTATTAAGTTATTCTGATTTTATTACAGAATTTTCATTCAATGAGTCAATTCAGAGAACAAAATATTATTTCACAATTGATTTTTCTATTATATCGAAACCATTTCTCCGCTATAAATATCTTTCATAAACTTTATTTGCTATTAACATATTTTTGAGCGTTTCTTTTAGCAAATCTTTTCATTATAAATGACAGTTAATATAATAATCTTAATTTAATATTTAGTAAATTGTTATATATTTTCTCTATTCATATAAAATTTTCATGAATAATAACATTATATTATGATTGAAGAGCTTATATGACTTTC